AAAAAAAAAAAAAAAGACGATTTGACTTTCCAAGGGTGGGAGCTTACCATGCTTTTCACTCTCCCCACCTATAAGACTGCCCCTGCTCACAGCAGACCCATGATTTTGGCTATGGGATTCCCTCTGGTCCTAGAATCCTACCCAGACCTCTCATGGTCTGGTATTGAGACATTAATACTATCTGTGTCATAAGCAATTGCCTGGAATAAAATATAAAGCTGAAATAAATGTGAGAAGGCATAGGAGTGTGCAAAGAAACTGGGCTGCTCGCAGTCTAGCTTATCCCTGGGCCTTTGGTGAATCTCTTTTAGGTAGTCATAGGAGAGAATTGTTATTTTGTTCTTTTTTTTTTTTGAGAGAGAGCCTCAAGCTGTCCTCCAACTCCTGGGCTCAAGCGAGTCTCCTGCCTCTGCCTACCAAGTAGCCCACCACAACACCCGGCTATTTTTTTGGTTGCAGCCATCATTGTTGTTTGGTGAGCCCGGGCTGGATTCGAACCCGCCACCTTAGGTGTATGTGGCTGGCGCCTTAGCCACTTGAGCCACAGGCACCGAGCCTGTTATTTTCTTATTATTATTTGGTACTGGGTCTTGCTCTGTCACCCAGGGTGGAATGCAGTGGTGCAATCATGGCTCACTGTAGCCTCCAACTCTTGGCCTCAAACAATCCTCCCACCTTGGCCTCCCAGCGTTAGGATTACAGGTGTGAGCCATACCTAGTAGGGCGGGCAACAGAATCAGTGGGAATGGGGGAAGGCCCACTCGCCTAGGGGTTTAACAAGTTGCCTGGCCTCAGAGCTGTCTGTGCAGCCTGGTCAGCTCTGGCTACTAATCTGCTTTCTGTCCCAAAAGCTGGACTCAACCTGCCAGGGCCATGGGATGGGATTTTTCACCTCTTGAGTGAACTGACTACAGGCCCTACATCCAGAAAGCCAGTATCTCCTAGAGCCAGAAAACAGGTTGGGTGACTGTACTCCTCTACCTGGAGCCATGAATGGTGAGCTCAGCCAGTGACACTCTGGGGTTGAGGAAAGGCAGAAAAAGAGGTTAGTGACCATTGTTATTATATGCAGGCCTTTTCCAAACCTCATAATCCCTCCTGATACTCCCCCTCAGACCCAAGTCTGATCCAAAAATTTCAGAGACAGTGTCCAGTGGGTGACAGCCCACTCCTGTTGCCCTCTCCTACCAGGTATGGCTCACACCTGTAATCCTAACACTGGGAGGCTGAAGTGGGAGGATTGCTTGAGGCTAAGAGTTGGGGGCTGCAATGAACCATGATTGCACCACGGCATTCCACTCTGGGTGACAGAGCAAGAGCCTATACCAAATAGTAAGAATAGGGCCCTCAGATGCTGGAGGGGCCAGGAGGGAGTCAGGGAAGGAGTGGAACAGGGCCTACTCTTATCCCTAGGCTGAAGGAGCCCCTGGTCAATCTTAGATGGGTCCTCCACAGGGCACTGACTACTTGAGGTTTAGCCACCCCCCTCCCAACTCCCTGAGCAGCCCACAGCCCTCTCTTGGCAACTATAGTTCCCTTTTTGCCACCCTTGACTTCTGGAGCTTGCCCTTATCACTGCTCAGTCGTGGAGCTTCTAGAATTCCCCATCACCATCTCTCAATGTCCAGCCAGTCCTACAAGCAGCCCCCAGAGCCTTGAATGTTGCCAAATGCTATGTTTATTAGTCTGTTACACTGAAGAGTATAGTTTCTGAGCCAAAAAACATACACACTCTGCTCCTCACGAAACCACTGCGTCACTGAGGCAGGCACACAAATGGCCACCAGTGCTTGGTGGAGGCCAAGGACTCATGACAACAGGTATGGACACGTGGGGTGGGCTGGCCCCCAAATAGGCTGTGCAGTGCCCAGGGGCAGGTGAGGGCTGGAAAGGCTGTGCTGGATGCAGAAGGGCTGCTGGGCCCTTTCTCGTGTTTCTCAAATGCAGGAAGTCCGCCAGACCCTGGCGACTACTAGACAGGACTCAGCCCTGGCATAGCCTCCAAGTCCCAGGGTAAGGCCTCACCTGCATGTGTTGGGGTGGAGGGAAAATGCGATGACAGAGCAAGCAGCATGCCTGGGATCAAGAGGTATGCCCTTCCTGGCACCCGTGTGAACGTAGCTTCTTCAAGGAGTTCCTAGGCCTCTCGGGCATCCCAAGAAGCATATGGAAGGCAGAGCCAGCCTTGCTTCCCACCAGGGACAGTCACGGGAGACCCAGGCATGCCCCACCTCCTGCAGCCCCAGGGACTCAGCAGATGCCTGGGACAGACAATAGGCTGCCCTGAAGCTCTGAGGCCTGTCCCTGAGAGGAACTGTGACAGAAGTGCTTTCCTACAGAACTGCTCTGTGATTCCTCTCAAGAGCACGTGCTCCGACCCTATTCCAGATCATCCAACTGGCAAGAGCATCCTTATAGTTTCCAGGGCAGTATCTATTGCATACAGCCAGGGCAGGGTGGCAAGAGTGAGACTGTACAGACACACATGGGTGCACTGTACAGAGTGGGGAGTGGCAGTGGCAGTGCTGCTGAGGTGGGCTGCTCCCACCCAGGGCCCACATCTTCTAACTGCCCCAGAATCTCAGGGGAGGGCCTGGAAGGTACCCAGGTCTCTTGCACACATGGCTGAACTGGCAGCTGCTCAGGCTGCCCCAAGCGCGTCTGGTGTGCACGCAGTGCACCAGACTGCAAAGGGACTCCCAGAAGAGCAAGTGCAGAACCCTTCCCCCACACAACCCTTGCCAGGGAGGGCCCAGGCCATAATAGCCCCTGCTAACTTTATAGGGCCCCAGGTTGACTCATGGGGAACAGTCCGGCCTGAGGCTACAGGTGGCAGTGGGGCTATTCCCAGATATTTGGGAGGGGAGCAGAGTAGATGTTCCCCAAGGCAGCTGCTCCCTGAGGCCGACCCCTCCTATCCCTGCCCTGGTGTGAGGGCATCCTGGCCCCTGACTTGCCCTCCAAGGCAAGCAATGCCTGGAGTCCAATCCTAGGCTCACAATCACTTTGTTAGGAACACCGTTGGATAGGCAGGGTCAGCTGGAGGTCAGGGCAGTCAGGGCTGTGACACCCCTGGCCCTCTCACTCCTGTAGCCCAGGGGCTTGGCGCCCAAGCTCTACACAACAGCTGCAGCTCTCACTTGTTCTCTATGAGCATCTGCACCTTGTGGACGAGGTCCCGGGCAATCCGCAGGATCTCCTGGGCATCGTGACGCTCAGCCCGTTCTGAGGGAAACACGGGTAATAGTAAGGAGGCCCAGAGAGAGGGTAGTAGGCTGGAGGCTGTGGCTAGCTGCTCTGTTGTTTCTACCTCCTGGATTCTTGTTTTTTTAAAAAGATAGGATCTCACTATGTCACCTAAGCTAGTCTCAAACTCTTGGCTTCAAGCAATCCTCCCACCTCAGCTAGATTCCTGACATCCTACCTATGGGGAAAGGACCCCAGAATTCCTGAGAATCCTCTAACTCTGCATAGGACAGAGGTAGAGGCTGGAGGTGGTGGTGGTGGGGCCTGCTGGGTGCAGCCAGGACGGCTAGACCAGTTCATACCATTGAAAAACTTGATGATGTCAGTGAAGTCCATGTTGTTGTCGCGGATAATCTCTCGGTAGGCCTCTACCAGGGCAAGGGCGATGAACAGGACAAAGTGCTCTGACGAGATGTGCTTGGCCGCCCAGATCACCTCCCACACAGCAAACACATCCTCGTACAGCAGCTCTGGGGACAGTAAGGGGCTGGTGCTCACTGAGTTCCAGCCACATGGCCGGGGCTAAGGCTAAGCCTGGCTGGCTGGTTATTGGAGTCTAGGTGGAGCCATGTGGGGAGTCAGGGCACCATCTGGCCAAGGTCATAGGATTCTCCGTTACACATAGCCTAGTTCAAGAATGGGGGTTTTGTACCTTAGACCTCACTCTTAGGTAATTTCTGCACTCTGGGTTCCTGAAGACTGTATCTGTACTTCACCAGAACAACTCACTTTTTTTTTGGCACAGGGTTGGGTGGTGCCTGTGACTCAGTGAGTAGGGCGCCAGGCCCATATACCAAGGGTGGCGGGTTCGAACCCAGCCCTGGCCAAACTGCAACAAAAAAATAGCCGGGCATTCTGACAGGTGCCTATAGTCCCAGCTACTTGGAGGCTGAGGCAGGAGACTTGCCTAAGCCCAAGAGCTGGAGATTGCTGTGAGCTGTGACAACATAGCACTCTACTGAGGGCAAAAAATGAGACTGTCTCTAAAAAAAAAAAAAAGAAGAGAGAGAAGGTCTCTGGCTAGGCGCCTGTTTCTCAGTGGTTAGGGCACCAGACATTTACACTAGGGGTGGCGTGTTCGAGCGCAGCCCGGGCCTGCTAAAACAACAATGACAACTACAACACAAAAACAGCTGGGTGTTGTGGCGGACCTATAGTCCTGGCTACTTAGGAGGCTGAGGCAAGAGAATTGCTTAATCTCAAGAGTTTGAGGTTGCTGTGAGCAGTGACACCACAGCACAAGGACGATATAGTAAGACTCTTGTCCCCCAAAAAATAAGAGATAGGGTCTCCCTCTGTCACCCAGACTGAACTGCAGTGGCATGATTATAGCTCAATGCAGCCTCAAATTTCTGGGCTCAAGCAATCCTCCCACCTCAGCTTCCCAAGAAGCTAGAACTATAGGCACATACCACCATAGCTAGCTTAATTTTTCTTTCTTTCTTTCTTTTTTTTTTAGAGATGGGGTCTTGCTATATTGGCCAGGCTGGTCTCAAACTCCTGGGCTCAAGTGACCCTCCCACCTCAGCCTCTGAGTAGCTGGGACTATAGGTACAAGCCCCTGTGTTGGACTCAACTCTACTTTTACAGGACTTAACATCTTGGCACTCAGGGATGCTTTGGGTTGGAAAAAGTTCTGAAAACCCTGACTTATTAGAATGTTGACTGGCAAGCCTGTCTGCACTTGGGAATCACCTAGGGAGCCTTTAAGAACACATACCCCCAGGCAGCCATGGTTAGTAAGTCTAGAGCTTGGTGGCACCCAGGGCATTGGTAGTTTCTTTCTTTTTTTTTTTTTTTTGGCCAGGGCTGGGTTTGAACCCACCACCCTCAGCATATGGGGCCAGTGCCCTCCTCCTTGAGCCATAGGCACCGCCTGGCACTGGTAGTTTTTAAAAGTTCCCCAAATGGTTCCCAAGCACATTTATGACTAAGAACCACTGGCTTTGGGGAAGAGGAACCTCCCACTATCCCTGACCCTAGCCCCATGATCCAACCCACTTCTGACCTCTCTTAAAATCCAACAGGAACCAGCGGTAGCAGAAGTAGAAGTGGGTGTAGTCTCCATTCTGATGCATCAGCTCAAACAGCTCTGAGTCCAGGATCTTACATAGGTGAGGAAAGGGAGAGAGACTGAATCCTGAACTGATGCTGCCTCTCTCCACCCCACCCCCACCATCTTCCATGCCCAGGGGAGGGTGGGGTTCCCAGACCTGCCTGTCCACCCCATAGCCACCCTCCCTACCCTTCACATCTCCTAAGGTGGGGGGTCGCATCTCTGGGTATACTGTTTTTAGAGTTATACCTCTTTCTTTTTAGACAGTCGTACTTTGTCACCCTAAGTAGAGTACCATGGTGTCATGGCTCACAGCAATCTCAAACTCTTAGGCTCAAGTGATTCTCTTATCTCAGCCTCCCAAGTAGCTGGGACTACAAGCACCTGCCACAATGCCTGCTACTTTTTTAGAAATGAGGTCTCACTCTTGCTCGGGCTGGTCTTGAACTCCTGAGCTCAGGCAAAACACCCTTCTGGGCCTCCCAGAGTGCTGGGATTACAGGCGAATCACCATACCCAGCTGAGTTACACCATTTTCATCAGTCCCTACTATTCTCCAGAACTTTCATGAGAACAAGCATTCACACACGCATACTCAATTGTGACACTGAAAATAATATTTTTTAAAACGAAAGAAATTAAGCTTATATGTAAAGGACATTTTTGGAATGTTCCCTGGAAAGGGAGGACATGCCCAGTTCTGCCTGATCATGTACCCGTGGCAGCATACCTGGATGAGAGACCGCATATTGGCAAAGTGGGTGTCCATGGCACCCCCATTGGGGAAGTTCTGGCTCATCCTCTTCATGAGGTGGCTGAAGCAGCTGTAGGCCAGCTGATCTGAGGGAAGACAGGAGTAAAGCCAGCTAGGCAAGAGAACCTGGAGGGCAAGGCTGGCTCAGGTTTCCACCTTTCAAACCTAGCTGCCTTCTTTTTTCTTTCAAGACAATGTCTCTCTCTGTTACTTGGACTTGAGTGCTGTGGCATCATAGCTCACAGCAACCTCAAACTCTTGAGCTTAAGTGATCCTCCTGAGTAGCTCAGACAACTACAGGCACTCACCACGATACCTAGCTAGTTTTTCTATTTTAGTAGAGATGGGGTCTCACTCTTGCTCAGGCTGGTCTCTAACTCCTGAGCTCAAGCAGTCCACCTGCCTCAGCCTCCCAGACCTAGCCATCTTTTCCTTTCTCTAGCTTATGTTAGCCCAATCCCAACATCATTTTAGGAAACCCCCCTTATTCCCTCACCATTGTCGAGGATGACCAGGAGAGGTGCCAGCAGGTCACACATGCCCTGCACATAGCCCACGTCCAGGTGCTCCCACACGTAGCTGAAATGCCAGGGACAGAGTCACTGTGGCTATGCTCCATCCTTCCCTCCCCTCGGGGATCCCCAGGGAGATGGTCAGCAGAGCAGCCTGCCATCCAGAAGTTAGCTTTCCCATGACCTTGAGGCACTTACTGTGCATCCCACCCTGGGAGACAGTAGGGAATGTCCCAGACCCCTGTCCCCAAGGCACTCAAAAAAGACAAGAGTCTAGCACAGCTTGGATGTGGGACACGGTTAGAGAAGTCAGGTAAGACTTCGTAAAGAAGTGTGGCTAAAGCTGAGATCCCAAAGACCTCTAAGAATGAAGAGGGGTGAGGTGAGGGATGTTGAGGAAAAAAGTGTTCCAGACAGGAGGAGCCAAGTGTGATTCTGGGACAGGACAGAGGAGCAGGGCACCTTCCAGACCTAACCTTTCACAGAACAGCCAGCAGCAGGGTGTGAGACATTGTCCCTACCTCCCACCCAACCCCTGCCCCACACGGCACCTGCACATGATGTCTCGGAGTCTCTCGAGGTTGGGGGACGTGAAGTACCAGTAGTTGCGGTCACATCTCTGCACATCCTTGTCTATGCGGTGCAGATTTAAGGCCACAGTGTCCAATAATTCTATCTGGAAGAGTGGAGTGCCGTCAGGGGTGAGACTGACCAGCCTCCCTCAGATTGGGGCAGGAGGCACCTAAACGACAAACTGCAGAAACACGGGGAACCCAGGGAATTCAGAGAACACAGTCTTCTTGGGCTGCTGAGAGATGGGCTAGTGTTCCCTTACAGGACAGCTAGAGCAACCCCACCTTCCACCCTGCCAGCCCGTCCCCAAGCTTTGGAATATCAGGGAGGCCTCTGGGGCAAGCTGGGAACAATGCCTGAGGGACGCCCACATACAGTGTAGGCAGCAGCACACACAGCTGCAAGCTCCTCTCCTGCCTCCAGCTCTCTGGCCGGAGAAGCCTTCTCCTGGTTGGGATCTTGGGGCTCGGAGAAAGTGTGGGCTGCAGGGACCGGCTCACTGGACCCTTCCTCCCTACCGCCGTCTTCCTCTTCGAAGCCCACACTCTGCCCCTCATCTAGGCTCGACTGGATGCCCGAGGCCACAGAGTAATTGCGAGAAGATGGCAGTCCTGAGTCCGGAGAGTCAAACTCCACTGACTGCTGCTGCTCCACCACGGCCGTGCCCGGGGTCTCGGCTCCCAGTTCCTGGTCAGGCCTTGGTCTGGAATCTTCAGGTCCCTGGGGCCCTGGGGGCTCCAGCTCATCCACAGAGATAAACACCTGGTAGGGTTGAAGAGACAGCAGCTCCCACCTGCACTCCAGCCCCTTCCTGCAGTCCATCTCCTCCCACGGTCAGAATGGAACAGGAATTGAGAGTTCTCTTCAGTCCCCTACCCCCACCATGGCCTCCAACACTGCCACTACTGGGCACCAAGCCAGCTTCTGAGCCACCCACCCCCCACCTCCAAGGCAGAGAGAAACAAGGTCTCTGGGTAAATATGTCTTGAGCCCTGTCCAGTCTCTGTTGGTAGGAAGCACGCCAAGGCTTCCAGTGGCTGCTGAAAAGAAGGGAAACCAGAAGCCTGGACACTCAGTGGTTAGTGTCAGCTAAGTCTCATTCTACAGATGCCTCAAGTCACAGACCAGGAGAGTGTCCTCGGTGTTCAGGTGTACCTGCTAAAGCACCCCGGGTGAAAGCCCACCAGAGGTTTTAGAAAAAACAAGATTTTCTTTATTTCAGTACTCAACACTCAGCAGCCCAAGACAGGAATTTTCTACAGTCATCTACGTTAGCCCTCAGGCAAGGTGAGGAGAATTGAGATGTAAAAGGAAACAACATATTCTACTGTTCGGAAACAATGGACCAATCACAGGTAAAACAAGAAACATACACACAGACTGGTTTTGGTCATTATTTTTCTATTTAGAGTAAGTTGGGAAAGGGATGCTAAGAATAGAAGCATAAAGTATGGGGTAAGGCCACGACTCTGCTCTGAGGAAATCAGGAGCCTCAGAGCACAGCCAGCAAGGAAGGGAAGGAGGCTGCCATCTGTGAGCTAAGCAGCTGGACACTAGTATGGACTTTCACAAAACCCAAAGGCAGGGAGAAGGAGAACACATTCATGAATAGGGGATTGAGAACAAAGCACATGGAAGAGGACACAGGGTCTTGTTAGTTGTATTTAACTCTTGCTTCAGCAGGGTGCAGTGGCTCATGCCTATAATCCCAGCACTCTGGAAGGCTAAGGCAGGTGGACCGCCTGAGCTTAGGAGTTCAAGACCAGCCTGGGCAAGAGTTAGACCCCATCTCTACTAAAAATAGAAATACTAAAACTAGCCAGGCATGGCGGACCCCTATAGTCCCACCTACTCGGGAGGCTGAGCCAAGAGGATCTCTTGAGCCCAAGAGTCTGAGGTTGCTGTGAGCTGTGATGCCATAGCACAACACTGAGGGCAACATAATGAGACCCTGTCTCAAAAAAAAAAAAAAATAGAAAGTCTTATTTCAACTTAGATTTTCTGTTAATATTATTAAGGATTTAGTAAAGTAAAAAGAATGCACATTATCTAAAAAGGCAATGTTAAAGAAAAAACAAATTAATAAAACAATGTCCTTAAAAATGAAACTCATCAGTATTGGTTGGGCCAAGTAGGCATAGTTTAGAACTTGCTGTTCTAAAGACAGGGGTAATGCCAGGAAGAACCACCCTCCCGTGCTCTGCTAGCTTTGCATAGTTCATTCTATAAGGCAACAGACAGTATCACAGGGGAGGGGGGCTTTCATCAGTAGACACCAGTGGGACCATTCTGACTGCTTCCTTGTTCTCTGGCCAACAGCTCTCCAGGAAGCTTTTATAATCAGAGGATATGAGTGGAGAAGGGAAACCAAGACCAAGGGTTGGAAGTTTCTGCCCAGAGATACTCGTCTTGTCAGTAATGGATCTAGGACTGGGACCCAGGGCTGCCTATTGCTAGCTCTGAGTTCTCTCTACAAGGACAGAAGGTTTCCCCTAAATCCCAGTGAACCTATCTTTCCTTACTAGTTGGTTCAAACAGAACATGATACCCAGAAAAGTTGGCAGCAGAGGGACAGCTATCTATTTTTCAGTTGAAGAAAATGAGACAGACTCATTAAGCCTTCCCTCTAGGGCTCCACAGCTAGTATCAGAAGCCAGGCTAGTGTCCTGGACTACCATGCATAAATGCAAGTGGCTCCCTGCAGGCCCCCCACCCTCAAGGCCCCGTCTGGCTCACATCATTGCTGATGGTGGAGTCTCGGTGGATGAGGCGCTGCACGTGGCTGTCGATGCTGCTGCCCGAGGAGAACTTGGTGAGTGTGGCTGGGTGAGCCTCCCGCTCGCGCTGCCTCACCACCACCTCGCAGGCCTTCCACTCCGCCAACACCTGCTGGTACCTTGCTGCCACCACTGCATCCACCTGTCCTCAGATCACACCATGATCATGATGGGAGGGCTGCACCAGGCCCTCCTCTGCAGGGCTGGGCAGACACTGGGCCTTTGGCCCTGAGTCTTAGAGGCTAGGACAGCCAGAGACTAGAGTAGGTTCCCAGGGTGGGGACAGTGGAGCCTCCCTGCTAACATCCTCCTCTGCCATGTTTCTTTCCAGCCGGGAAGGGGCTGAGGCTTACGAGGCCCCCTCCCGGGGGTCTGGACCCAGCCTCCTATCTCCCCAGCCCCACAGGGATAGGCTCCCCTAACCTGCTCCATCTCCTTCTTGCTCATGCCAAACTTGTAGTGGCCAAGCAGAAAGGGCCAGACGTCCTTGCGGATCTCATGCTCCACACCTCCATAGTAAACCTGCCGCAGCAGCTCCAGCTCCTTGTAGTTCTGAGGGACCCAGGAGTAAAGACTATGCAGCCCCACAGTCAGCATGGCCCAGCTGAGCCCCTTCCCATGGAGAACTGGGGCCCAGGAGGGGCTTTAGTGACTCTGCTGACGCTCAGGCAAACCTTGCTTTGGGACAGCCATGTCCTCTTGTGCCCCAAATGAGATCTAGTTCCACCCTTCTTCCTTATAGGGCAGGAAACAGCCCAGAGAGAGGCAAAGTTCTGCCTGAGGTCACAGGGCAATGTGGAGGCAGACACAGCTCCCGTCCAGTCCCCTTCCCATGTAAACCCACTGTACGGGATTCTACCCAGTTGTATGGGTAGAATGGGATTCTACTATGACCCAGGTCATCCATGGCCATCAGTCTTCGCCCCTCAACCCCATCTACCTCACATTTTATCTGGAATACCCAGTTGATCTACAAGCAAGTGGCTTTGTACACATTGCTGCCTGCCCTGCCTCTTGACCCAGCCTCTGGCTCTGGAACCCCAGAGTTTATACCTTTTTGTCCTTCTGATACTTGCTCCACACATCCTTGGTGAGGCCTCCTGAGGCCCCGGGGGGCCGGTCAGGTGGGATAATGTTGTGATGCACCAGCGCTGACAGGTGGGTCCGCACCGTAGACAGGTGGCGGCAGTATGCCAGCCCTGCAGTGGGCAGCCAGGAGACTGTGAGCAAGGCGCCTCCGCTGCCCCCAGCCACTCATAGCCCCATGTCACCCCACACTCACAGCCATAGAAGGCCCGGGACACAATCTGCCTCTTCATGCTCTCACACAGTAGCCTGAGGGGCAACCTGTGAAAACAGCCTGGCTCAGAGAGAAGGGACCCATGGCCCCTGTGGTGAGAGGAGGAAAAGAAGGAAGGACATGTGAGCTGAGGGGACAGGTCAGGCACTTGGGATGATATATGGAGTGGGATCCACAGCCCAGTAGCATGTCAGCAGGCTCCCCATCCCTGCCAGCCACCCTTGATAGAGGTGCCTGTGGCCCTGCCTAGCCCGTAACAACCCAGGGACCTTTGGCAACTAACTTATTTTATTTTACTTTAATTAATTTGTTTTTGAGACAGAGCCTCAAGCTATCACCCTGGGTAGAGTGCTGTGGCATCATAGCACAGTAACCTCCAACTCTGAGCCGGGGTCTTGCTTTTGCTCAGGCTAGTCTTGAACTCGTGAGCTCAAGCAATCCACCTGCCTCAGCCTCCTAGAGTGCTAGGATTATAGGTGTGAGCCACCGTACCTGGCCTGGCAACTAACTTGACTTTAATAAATCTTGTTTTCTTCATGTAAAACTAGATATAGCCACCTGAGACCTAGGAGAAACAGATTAGGGGGAACAGCTCACATGAAGCCCACTTGTGCTGCTTTTGACACATGGCAAATGCCTAGACATCTGAGTAACCTCAGATGTACTGCCTGACAGCAGAACCTATGTCACATCAGGAAGGGACACTCACAAGCACTGAGCACCTATTATGTGCCAGGCACAACTCTGGATGTTCACACAATTATATCTCATTTAGTCCTCACAGCGCTTTAGTAAGCAGGTGGTATTATTCTCATTTTATAGATGAAGAAACTGAGGCTCAAAAACATAGAGGCTCACAGTGACTTAGTTACTTGCCAAAGTCACATGGGTAGCAGAAGTGAAATCTGAACTCATGTCTGTCTAACTCCAGAGGCCACCCTGCCATACAAATTACACAGCCTCTAAGGACAGATGGACATGCACATAGACGGACACATTAGGGAAGCTGATATTCTGGCCCCCCCTCACTCACCGGTCAGGAACACAGCTGCAATGGCTAGGGGTCACATATGGGGAGCTGCTGGAGGAACAGGAGAGGCAGGAGGAGCCCTGACCACACAGGGGCTCCAGGTGCCAGGCTGGCAGGCTGGGTCCAAAGCCCTGCATCTCGATCATGTCACCAGCATCTGAGGGCAGGAAAGGAGCCGTGGTCAGGGATTCAGAGATCTCCTCTCCCAGGCACCCTGCAGCATGCCCACCTCTGTGCCCAGAGCTGCAGCATGAAGTCACCCATTGGTGGAAAATCTCGGGAGTAGTGTTTGCCTGGTCCAGAGCCCAGAGACAGAAATGGTGGGGAGAGAAGGTGCCTGACACTTCCCAGCCTCCACCAAGCCTGGAGAGGGTTGGCATGGTGTCTTTCTACATAAGATAAAATACTTGAGGACTTTTATCAATGAATGACTGTGGGTGTCTATCTCCATCTTGCTGCCAGCAAATTCTTGCTTTTCTAGAGGGGAAAGTAAGAGAAAGAACAAAGGCCTGAGTTCCCTAAAATGCTCCCAGTTAGCTTGGCCTTCAAGGATTCAGCTTAGCCCTTTTGGTCAAACTCTGAGATGCTCAGAAAGGTGCTTAGAATGCTTTAAATTCTGAGCCCTGCCCTCTAGGGGAGTCCCTACTGATCAAGGCCCCCCAGGGATACCCAAGTCACCTGTCCTACAGGCCTTGCTCTTCTGAGAGAGACCAGATCTGGCAGCCAGTTGTTAAGGAGGAACACTGCTCCCTGCCTGGGCCAGCTGCCCCAGCTGCCAGATCCCATGGCAGCCTAGGTGGGCTCCTCCATTCTTGCCTAGCCTGACTGCAGTCAGCATGGTGGCCTCCTAGAAACACACTTATGAGCTGGAAGGAAGGGCAAAATGCCCAGGCTGCTAGGCTACTGTGGAGATGGGGATGGAGGCTGGGCACACAGGCCCATCATCCAACATGTTAGTCATAGAAGAACGTGCCCCAGTGTAGCCTCAGAAGATAGCTCCTTGGACACGTCTATACCACCAGTAGACAGAGCCTTCTCAGCCAGCCCAGCTGGTCTGAATCAGAACTGAAGATCCTCGAGAGCTTCCAGGGCCCAAGTCGGGCAGGGCACTGCTCATGGGGGACTTTGGCGGGTCCAGTGAGCCACAGAGATAAAGCAAAGTGAAGGCAGGAAGTGAAAGGACTAGGAGGTGACACCAGGAGGGAGGAATAGAGCAGAGAAGAGTGAAGACAAGGAGAGAGAGAGAGCTGTATGTGCTGAGCAGACTCCTGCCGGTGCTGCTTCTCCTTCAGTCTAGAGGGTGCGGGCTCAGCCTGGGCCTTGCATGGCGTGGAGCAGGCCTAGGACTATTTTTTGTGGGAGCCAGACTCCAGTTCTGGGTGTGCCTTGCTGGGGAGAGCTGAGCTGAGCCCCCTCCAGTCCCCTCAGGAGCTACCCAGCTGTGTCTGGGGCTTATTTCCCAGGCTCGTGGCTGACATTTTGGTAGGTATCTGGCCCTTCAGCTCCACCAGGAGGCAAATTAAGGGAACATACTTGGTGAGGAGGGGCTGCGGCTCTGGGAGTGAGGGGGTTGCAAGCCATGCCTGAGACTCTGGGAAGGAGAGGGAAAGGACCAGTGCAGGTAGGGTAGGGCAGGAGCCCAATGCATGCCCCTGCAGCAGGCAGGAGAGAGGCCAGTCCTGGTGGGAGGCCCAGCCAGGCAGGCAGCAGGCAGCAGGCGGGCAGGCAGGGAAGGCAGCAGGTGCAGAAGGCAGGTACAAAGGGAAACAAGCTCATGCCCAAAAAGCAGGGCCTGAACAAGGCAAGTCTCCTGGGTCAATGCTCTTCACCTTAATTCTCCAGGAAGGAGCTGAACCAGCCAGTATTGAACACTGCGTCTCTGAATTAACCCAGTGCAGACAGCTGGAGCTCTGGAGTGACTGGGTGAGGGGCAGCAGGCTGGGCAGGGGGTCAGCTTTGACTCTGACTCTCTCCTCTGAGTGTGAGGAAAGTGTAAAGCAAAACAATCAGGGTGGGTGAACCCTACAGCCCCTAAGACTCCGAGTGAAAGGTGCCTGGCCTGGAGCAGAATTAGAGTGAATAGCATCTCTGCTCTGAGGAGGAGGCAGCAGGAGAGGGAAGGGGAAAAGAGGGGGAGGGAGGGGAAATCTGGACACCCCGCCACTTGATTCACATGCACAAGTCAAGCATGTTGCAGGCCTGAAAAGCAACGGCTGGCAGAACGGACTCAACAGTGTTGTCATTATGGACTGGAGTGGAGAGGGCTCCATCCTCCACCCTTCTCCACAACCACCTACCAATTCTGCTGTTATGCTTCTTTCCCTTTCCCAAGTATTGGGGTCCAGGAGCTGCACACTGAGTTGCCCTAGCCCCTAAGTTCCCCAAGGGGGTTCCTAAACAAACCCCAAGGCCTCTTGACCCTGGCAAGTGAGCCTGGAAGTTTCTCTGATCTTGAAAACCTCAGCCCTAAGACTCATCAGGGATAGGCTTTCTATCACCAAGTCTGCAGGCAAGGGCTCTACTGGGACCTTCCAGCCTCCAGCTTAATGACCAGCTCATAGGATAAGAAGGAGCTCCTTGACCTCTCCTAGTGATCAACCTTCCCACACAGCTCAAAGTCAGTTAACCTATAAACAAGCATCTGCCCTAAGTCCAGGTCTGCAAGGAACCAGGTGGCAGGTGTGTGTAGGCAATAAACACCAGAAATGGAACGTTCCCACCTGGGCCTGGCCTACAGCTCACATTGGAGGGGTTGGGAGGGAGCACAGGCACCGGGGCAGGTATGTGGCAGTAACAAGGGGTGGCGGCAGGGTGTGCTGGATGTGTGCTAAGCCACGGCCCTGGTTGCCCAGACATGGAGGATTCATTATTACTGGCATAGTGGCTGGGCTAAGGAATTGGGCCCCTTGGCAAAACTTTGTGTTGGAGTAAAAGGAGTGTGACATAGTCTTAAGACACTCTCTGCAGAGGTAGGAAATGAGAAGCAGCGACTGATCCTGGGGCACAGGAATGGGAGAGGGGAGGCTCCCTGATCTCTTCCTAACCCACCCTTTCTTGAGTACCCCTGCCAGCCCACATAGGCACCCTGGCTGATAAGTCCAAAAAGAGGGGTTCCTTCGGGGCAGCACCTGTGGCTGGCCCCATATACCAGAGGGAGGTGGTGGGTTCAAATTCAGCCCCTGGACAAAAACTGAAAAAAAAACATTTAAAAAGAGGGGTCCTTCTTTACCAACCAGCTCTATGCTAAGGAGATGGTGGTGGGCAAAGGGATAGTGAGGGACTGTGCTGTGTCATTTCCAAGGAAGGGCACCTCTACAATCAGGGATGCTGGAAACACACTTGTCTTAGACTCCTGGCATAGATAAGACTAAGCTTTAAGCTGGTGAGATACCTGCTTAAAACTGTACAGTGAACCAGAGGCATAGCTAGGGCAGGAATTCATGTCTCTAGTCCCTGAGCCTGTGCCCCCTCCTGAACACCACACTGCAGATATTTCTAGATTTCATGCTAAGGTGCCAAGCCATGCTTGCTGAAACCCTCAGACCTACTGAGAAAACTGAGCCCTGGAGTCTTTTTCAGTAATGGCCCCCAACCTCTCATCTGACCCATAGGACTCACTATCTGTATGACCTGTCCAGTCCCCACCCCCGCCCCAGGAAGGGCCTCGTATCTCTGTCCTGTTTCCATTAAGAGTCAGAAGCACAAGGCCCAGAGGCTGGTCTTCCCAATCAGCAGGAGGAAAAGAGACCACTGTTTAGCATTTGCCAGCATGACCCGGGGAATAGGAATGGGCTCAGAGCACCATTCCGGGTCTCCAAGAGGCAATCAGATGATCACACCTTTCTGTCAGTGGATCTTCTTCCCTCTCAGGCCTGAAACTCCCTCCCTACAGCCCAGAACCATGTGCTCTGTACCATCCCCTCTTCAGCACCTGTCTGGCCTCCTTCAGTACCCCCTCATTTGCCTCCTGATGGAAGGGAACCACCCTACCCTGGGTGCAAGTCCTCTAATGCCAACACTGCTGTTCCAGCCCCTGCAGTGGGTGGCAGGTGGGCCCAGGGGAGTGGGGTGGAGGATGAGGCAGGTCAGGGAGAGAGGGAGGGATAAAAACCTTTCATCGGATTGGGAGCTGTGAGGTTCCGCGAGCAGATCATTGAGAGCATCGCGTGTAGTTTATCCTCCTCTTCCTCATCATCGTCCACCGAGGCCGCCCGGCTGGCCGCTAGGTGGTGGTAGTTAATAGTGACTGCTCAAAGAAAATAGCGAGAGGCAGAGGCATGAGGACCCTCATCCCTGGGCAGGAGGGACTCCCTCAAGGTGAGCAGAATGGAGGCTAGGATCACCTTGAACCTGCAGGGCACAGAAGAGGGGAATGGAGGGGACCAGAAAGCTCTTTTTTTTTTAAAGACAGAGTCTCATTCTGCCACCCTGGGCAGAGTGCCATGGAGTCCTAGCTCACAGCAACCTCAAACTCTTGGGCTCAAGAGATCCTCTTGCCTTAGCCTCCCAAGTAGCTGGGACTACAGGCGCCCACTACAACGCCCGGCTAGTTTTTTTATTTTTAGTAAAGATGGGTCTCATTCTTCCACAGGCTGGTCTCCAACTCCTGACCTTAGGTGATCCACCCCCTCAGCCTCCCAGAGTACTAGGATTACAGGCACGAGCCGCCACATCAGGCCCAAAAAGCTCTTTTGATGATTTACTTGGGAGAGTATGGAAGAAGGTGAGGGGCTAGGGGCAGCTGCAGAGTTTCATTCATAGGAGGAGGCCCTCTCTAGAAAGAACAGAAGAGAGAGAACTGGGGGGTAGGGGAAGGATGTGAAGGACAGGGACTGTTTGGGACAGGCTGGAAGATTGAGAGCTCACCAGCCCTGGTCTAAGCTGGCAAGACTGTCAGCAGATGGAGCCTGATCATTCTTCAGCTCCTGCCATGGTCAGGCTGGACCAGATCTGAAGATTACTCCAAATCCCTCTTTTCAGACTATAAATTCAACTATTTCCCTCCAAGGGTTTTCCCAGAGCTGCCCTCAAGGAGTCTGAGTCACTCAGCTGAGTTTTAGCTCCTTGGTGCCCTGGCTCACCATGCTCTGAGGAAATGGCCCTTAAAATGAAGTGACCAGAACTGAAAAATGCCAAGGACTGAAGAGGGGAAGCAGAGTGAATAAGCTAAACTGAGCAACATGTTGAGATTAAACACCAAGTGTACAAACACATTCTGGCAAAAGAGGTGTCTCCTTGTCAGGTGCATGTGGGACAGGAGGGGAAATCCCCATGTCTTGTGCCCCCTAAGTCCATTGGGACTCTCTGAGCCATCTGGGTATTGCCATCTGGGTGATCCGTCCGCTAACACAGAGACAACTTGTTGACAACTTTTTGGCGCGAGTTAGGAAATACAGGGAGGAAGGGGTTTGGTTGGCAATAAATGCTCTGAGCTGGCAAATTCCCTGACTTTATCTTCAAGATAAACAAGCCTGGCCCAGAGAAACCTATAGGTAGCAGCAGCAGCAGCACTTGGACAAGAAAGGAGCCCTCAGGCCCAAGGGTACATGTCCATGGCAGGGCAGGACCCAGACCCATGAGGACCAAGCCACCATAAGACCCCCTCCAGCCCCCAAAGTCCCCCAGACAGCTCCAAGTCTCGCCCTCTTCAGACGCAGCCTCACATTTCAGCTAAAGCTCTTCTCATCAGTAGCTGGTTTGAGCAGGACTCTGGCTCTAGGGGAGTCAGGGAACAATTCGCACCAATCAAAAAGAAGCACCGATCTCATACCCAGGCCTCCCTGTGGAGGTCAGGGGCAGCCCTAAGAGAAATGGAGAGTTCTCCACCTCCTTCTTCTAGTCTCCCCACGTTCTTTCCCCAGGGGCAGAGCTTAAAAGGATGACTAAGAGAATCTTGTACAGTGATGCCTGGGTCTATCCAGTACAGTCTTAGGTGAAGAGGTGGGGAAGAGAGCCAGGTAGAAGACCTGAATTGCAGGTAAAAGGCCCAGCTGGCAGGCTAAGTGATGAGCCTCTTGTCTTAACGTGGCCTGGTCAGTGGACCCCACTGGCCACCCTCCTCAGTGATGCTGTGCTCCCCCACCTCTCTGGGCATCTTTTTCTCCTCTTTCGAGGTTAAAGTCTGGGACACTCACTGTGCTCATGCCTGTGCCCAGGGTAGATGATCCGGAACACGTAGTCTGCAGTGCGCCCCAAGCCTGTCTCCTCCACATCCACAGAGCGTATGCTGCTTCGTTTCCGTAGCTTGGGGAACACCTTTCCCTGCAGAGGGAAGGGTGGGTGGTCAGCCTACCCAGGGCAGAGTCCAATCCAGGGTCCCACCCAAGACTGCTCCTAAGAACTCCATGTAGGGAAGGGAGGGAGGTGGATGGAGAATCCACCCACACAGCCTTTTACCCAGAGCCTCATGTATCCTGAGGTACCTTCCCTTGCTGGGTCCACAGCGGGGGCTCTAGCTGTCCTCGAGGCAGCAGCCCATTCTCCAGACAGGACAGGAAGGACAACAGGTGTCCTCCCTGTGGGAAGTGCAGTGGTGGCCTCTGGATGCCATCCTGGCTCACCAGCACAAGCGTGCCACCGCTCTCTGAGGGGAGAAAGTGGCAAGTGAGGCCGGGTCCACCTCAAGACTGCCCCGCCCATCACCATGGCCTATTGGCCAGGCTCGCCAGGCTCCCCAGGCTGAGTAGGACAACAGCTGAGCTAGACCATGGGCAGGAGCGTCATTAGCAGGGATAGTAGGAGGACAAGAAGTCCTATAGGCCCCATGCATGGCTGGGAGAAGGCAGCCTCTCCCTTCCCACCCCTGTGCTGGGTACCAAGGGGGCTTACTTTGCTGGTGGCAGTGGATGCAGACAATCTGACTGAAGGGCACCACCAGGGCATAATCCCAATAAACACTGGAAAGGAACCAGATTGGTGTCACTGTGGCCCAAGACCTCCATCTTGCCTTCCTTGTCTTCTGGCCCTACTACCATCTGCAACTCCCCTGAAGATAGGATGACCACAGCCAAGAAGTGAGCTCAGCCATGTCCCTGGAGTCCTATGGTGCCCTTATGGCACAGAGCCTGTCATTCTCAGCTTCCTAGAGGTTGGCTCAGGTAATCTTCTTCATACCTAGGCTTGGCTGAGTCTTAGCTTGGGACTTACTCCAGTCAGCTTCTCCCTGCAATTCTTGGCATCTGTGTAAGTGAGGTCTGCTCCCTGGTGCAAGGTGGGCCTCTCCATCCCCTGGTCTGGGGTCAAGCCCTGACTCCCCTCCTTGGCTCCTGGGAGTGAGTCCCAAAGCTCCCACCTCTTTTCCAGCTCGGAGTCCCCCAGAGTCCCATTCATAAGCTGGTTGGGGGTCCACTTCAGAGTTAGGCTCTCTGCTGACTGGTGCAGGGAAAGGTAGCCAGGGACAGCCTCCATGTCCTCCTTCTATCGGGAGGAGACACACCAGAAGACAGAGGTAAGGAAGGGCTGAGAGGCTCTCAGAGACAGCCTGTGAAAGACAACTCCAGGCTTGGCACCTGTAGCTCAACCGGATAAGGCGCCAGCCATATACACCTAAGGTGGCGGGTTCGAATCCAGCCCGGACCCGCCAAACAACAATGACGGCTGCAACCAAAAAATGGCCGGGCATTGTGGCGGGTGCCTGTGGTCCCAGCTACTTGGGAGGCTGAGGCAGGAGATTCGCTTGAGCCCAGGAGTTGGAGGTTGCTGTGAGCTGTAATGCCACGGCACTCTACCCAGGGGGATAGCTTGAGGCTCTGTCTCCAAAAAAAAAAAAAGAAAGACAACTCCAGTTGGAAGCCTGGGAGGCCAAGCTACGCTAGTCACAGGGCCCTGGGCTGGGGGCTGGAACCAAGCAGAAGGAGCCACATAGCAGATCTGGGCATCTCCCCTCCCTGGTTGGCTTAGTCCTATTGCCTCTCTTGTGTCAGCCTTCTGGGATGTCCAGTGCATCCCAGCCCAGCCATGCCCAAGCTGGGCACTCACCCTGCCTGCTGGCTGTCATTCCTGTCTCTGGACAGCCTCTTTACTAGACCAGATGCCATCCCTGGCGCCTGCCAATTCAAAGCTAAGCATAAGTTGTATGAGGCAGTGGGGGGTGTAGGGTGTTCTCCTCCTTCTCTTTGATCAATCTTTCCTTTTTTTTTTTTTATCAAATCATAGCTGTGTACATTAATGCAATCACAGGGTACAATGTGCTGGTTTTATATAAAATTTGAAATCTTTTTTTTTTTTTGAGACACAGTCTCAGTTTGTCACCCTTGGTAGAGTTCCATGGCATCACAGCTCACAGCAACCTCCAACTCTCTGGCTCAAGCAATTCTCTTGCCTCAGCCTCCTACTGGGACTACAGGCACCTGCCACAACTTCTGGCTATTTTTTAGAGACAGGGGTCCTGTCTGGCCAGTCTTTTTAGGTAAGGAACAACTGTGGCTAGAAGCTTCCAATTCTGGGAACTGCAGAAGAGGGAGACTGAGGGAAGGGAGGCAGCATGAAGCTTCTTACCGGCTGCACCAGCACGTTGTTCTTGCCATAGAGCAGCCGTGTCCTCGAGTTCTGGTGCAGGGACTCCACATACTCACGGGCGCAGGCAGCCAGCCTGTCCTCCGATGTGCTGCCACTTGAGTGCCGCTTACGGATCTATGCAGAAAGCATAGCTCAGTCTCTAGCCTTGGGAAGTAAGCCTCATGCCTCCACACCAACCCTCTCTAGCTGACCCCAGGGTGCTTCCTGCCCCTAGTTTTATCTGGCCACCTTCTGTTATCCAGCCATGGACCAGCATAGGGTCCTGGATTTCTCTAAGGGCTAGTGTGGCAGGAAGGCTCTCCTGGGGTGGCTGCTACCCTGGGGCATCTCCAAGGCCTATTCTGTATAGAGACCAGTTTGCCCTCCCTCAGGCCCGTGGGAACAGCCTAAGGGAGCAAAAGGATGGGAGGGACACTTACCCCTAGGGCTGGACGCTTTGCAGGGGAGTCCTGGCGATTAGGGGCACCCCGGATACGGTGTCTCTGGACAAGCTCATCAGCAGACGGGTCAGTCCAGTAGTGATCAGCTGTCTTGAGCTTAGTGTATTCCAAGGCACAGGGTCCCACTATGTAGAAAGGGACAGCCAGTTCAGATGGTCCTCCCCCTGCTTGTGCCCCTCAGCCCTCGCTGGCCAGGAGAGGCCTCTATTCTCTAAGGCTCACCTAGAAGACAAGCCAGGATCGGGCCAAATACAGGGTCTGCCAGCAAGGCCTCTTTCTCGTAGTACTTGCTGCCAGGAGGAAACAGACAGGGTGACTGCCGAGGTTCTTGGACTCATTCTAGCTTGGTTGAGCTCACAGGGTAAGAATGTCCCCAAAAAGCCCACATTTATATCCCAAGAAGGAATGAGTCCCTAAGGACAGAGCTTTGTGGAGTGCCTCGTGTGGTTTATGTTTCTGGGGTACTGGAAGGGGATTTGCAGGCTGCCTACAGCTTGTCACAGCCAGCCAAGCATGCCAAGGAGTGGGGCTGAAGGACAGTTCAGGAGGTGGGCTGAGGGAGGGGCTGTGTGGGCGATGGGCCAGTCACCTGCAGTTTTCCGACAGGTACTGCACAACCCTGTCCAGAACTTTCTCGATCAGCGCTGTGCGTACCCATATGTGTTTCAAGGCTTGTGGGCTGAGGACAGGGGCCTTCCCGCTGGTGGAGCCCTGTCTCCGCAGGGCCTCCTGGCTGCCCCCTGAGGGTTTCCTGCAAAGAGGATGAGGGCTTCAGGAGTGGGTCCCAGGCACTGGGAATGGGGCTTAATGCCACAGGATGGGAGCAGAAAGAACTGACTGGGGCAGGGGCATAAAGGAAGGGGACAGAGCTTTGTGCCTGTAAGGGGCCAACAAAGAGGTCCCACAGCAAACAGGCCAGGGAAGCAGCAAATGCCAAGTGGGAAGAGCAGAAGGGTGGGGCAGGAAGGGCTGACCAAGGACTCACCTGCCCTCTACTTGTTGCTGTAGCTCTTGTACCTTGTGGCAAATCTCCCCAGCCACTGGGCACGTCTTCCCCACCTTGGTGAATAGGGCTGCCATCTTGTCACTGCGCAAGAAGCCAGCAGTACGACGTCTCAACTGATGCAAGAGGCAAGCCTCAACTGCACCTGAGCCACAGAGAAAAACAGCACCTGAGCCTAGGCAAGATGGGAAGAGTGCTACCCTTCCCCACCTATACCCGTGGTGAGGCAGAGGGTATGGGCGAGCCCTGACCTGCTCTAGGACAAAGAGTAGGCCAGGGAGATACACCCCGGTTTCCTTCCAAAATTCCCTCTTCTGTCCCTCTGTTCCTGCCCAGGGTGGAGAGCTCACAGGTGCCAACATGTCTCTCTTTGTTGCCTGGTGTGTACATCCCTCCTGTACACACCATCACCCCTGGAGACGTGAAGATCAAAGCTGCACTTTCACATTGGCACGAGTGGGTACAACCCTGAACATGAGGGCATGCAGGGACAGTACCCATAGGACAGGAATGCAGGGAACATGTAGCCCAGGAGCCCTCCTGGAGAGCATTGATGATGTGGCTGTAAGGAAAAGGGTTCTGGAGAAGCTGAAATACTGATGAAGCCACTGCAGAGATCAGATGAAATGGTGGCCTCTGGATTACTGATGAGCCCAGAAGCTAAGAGTGGGAGATTTCTCTTTTCCATGCTAGGAGGGCTTCCTTTCATTCATTTGTGTTTTTAGGGCCTAGGCTTTCTCTGTCTGTATGGATCCTGCTTATCCAGATAGACTTTGCAGGAGGGAAAGAAAGGTTTGGTCGGTGGAGTAGTGCAGGGAGTTACCCTGGGCTTGTGTAGAGCCTAAAAATATTAGTGTGTGTGCAGACGGCTTCAACATGATTGAATTGAATGTTTTTTGTGTTTTTTTTTTTTTTTTTGAGACAGAGTCTTACTATGTCACCCTTGGTAGAGTGCCGTGGTGTCACAGCTCACAGCAACCTCAAACTCTTGGGCTTAAGTGATTCTCTTGCCTCAGCCTCCCAAGTAGCTGGGACTACAGACACACCCCCTCCCACAATGCCCAGCTGTTTTTTGGTTAGAGTTGTCATTGTTGTTTAGCAGGGCTGGGCTGGGCTTGAACCTACCAGCCTCGGTGTATGTGGCTGGCGCCCTACTCACTGAGTTATGGGCCCTGAGCCTGAATTGAATGTTTTGTAAGTGAGGACAGAAAGGCCCAGATAGGAGCAGAGGCTGGATCAGCCACAGAGCAGCAGAGCCAAGACTAGGACCTAGGGCCCCAAACCCTGGCCTGAGCCCCTTTCCCACTTCTAGGTGTGGGGGTGGGGATGGGGTCACAGTGGGAAAAGGTGCTCCCTTCATGTCACAGGTCCATTTTCCACACAGACTGAAAACAGTGAACTATGCTATAGATAGGCAGTCAGACATAACAGGGTCTGTACTTGGCGCAGCCACACACTGCCTCTGGGAAGCCTGAGTAAGTGACTTAATGCGCTGAGATTCAGCTTTCTCATCTGTGAAATGGGGAATTAGCTGGTCTAAAGGTAGTGAGCTATCTCAACTGATAGTTCAGTCAGATATAGGTTGACCTCTTTGTTCTACTTTTTCTCCCTTCCCCCTTCTCACTGCTGCACTTTACTAGTTTAAAAAAAAAAAGCAGGGAAGACGTATTAGAACTGGCGTGAGACATTACATGAGACGAAGTGTGTGAGACCCCTGCATAGTGGGGTCTAGCTCTTAGAGGGCACTGGATCCATGTCTACTCCCAACTCCTCATCCTTTGTGTTCAGATACAGTCCTACGGCTAACCTGCAAAAGCTGGGATTTTATAGGACCTTTTCCTGGCAGGAAAAAGAGGCAGAAAATGCCCCAGAAAGGATCATAGGCTGCCCCAGAGGTGGGTACAGATGCCACTCTCTTAGAAACAGGCAAAGTGAGGCCCCATCAAGCTTATTTTGACTAGTGCTGTTAGAATATGAAGCCTGGAGTTAGGAAAGAATCACTGAAAATAGTTTCTCACCTGTTTTCTGCCTTTGCTTTTAGTAACTGACTAGCAGTCACTATTGACCTACAAAGGAGTTTTGTTTGGACCTCCCTTGGACTGAAGTTTAGAAGGTGAGAGTCCCTGGGGCCAGTCTGGAGAAGGGACAACTCAGTGAGAATGTCCCAGGGGAGTAACAGGCAGGACAGGCCCTTCTCCTGAGAGCCTCCTGCTGGAGCGCTTGCCTGCTTGGGCCTAAGAGGATTCTTTTACAAGCGCAGTCTTTCCTTCAGCATGCTCGTACACCTACTGTGCAAAGTGCAGACAGGATCTGCACAAACCACCTGGGGGAAATCTTTGGCTTAAGTGTGCATATACACCTCTCCACACTCAGTCCCCCGGTCCCTGGAGATCTTATGTGGTCCTGGCATGTACAGGCGAATGACGTTTTTGTCCCAGTCTCTTGGTCTGGGGCTGCTGCAGCTACAAGTCCATGCCTGAGGAAGAATAGTGGCCATTTCCTAGGGTTGTATTCCCCACCCAGAGTGGGGAGAGAAACAGCACTGATCAGGGCCAGAGTGGCAGCAGGTGGCAGCCATCCTGCAGGGAATCGTGTGCCTTGGTGATGTGACTAATTGCTGGGATAATAAGTCATTAGCCTTCCCACCTTCTCCAGGCAACCGCAAACACAGCCAGGCTGGGGAGCTGGAGAGCAGCTGGCACGGGCACTCCCATCCCACTTGGCCTCATCTACCCTCCCAGCCAGCCTCTGGGCACAGGCATGGGATTCTCTTGGGTGAGCAGAAGCATTCCTCAGTGAGAAGCCCAAACATCACGCCCAGCTCCTACTCCCCCTCCTGGCCCCTAAATTCCTTCTATGAAACCCAGGCAAGGTGCCAGGCAGTATCTGGGGAAGGAGAAATCCCACTCATACCTCAACTTTCTAAGCAAAGTAAATGAGCCCTTAGGCCAGGTATTCTTGACCCAGTTCCACAGGCTCCTTGGCCAGTGACTATTTAAACTACACTTACTTGTCCTTTCCCACTCTCACAAGGGAATCAGCATATGTAATAAAATGTTATTATATGCAGTGTGTAGGCAAAATAACAACTGTACTTATTTATTTAGAGACAGGGTCTCACTCTGTGGCTCAGGCTGGAGTGCATGGCTCACTGTAACCTTGAACTCCAAGGCTCAAGCCTCCCCAAATACTAAGATCACAGGCATGAGCCACTGACATGGCCAATAATAATAATAATGATAATTAAAAACAGCTATCCAAAGACAGTTTGTGAAGGGGCAGCGCCTGTGGCTCAGTGAGTAGGGCACCAGCCCCATACACAGAGGGTGGTGGGTTCAAACCCAGCCCTGGCCAAACTGCAACAACAACAAAAAGTAGCCGGGCATTGTGGTGGGTGCCTGTAGTCCCAGCTAGTCGGGAAGCTGAGGCAAGAGAATCACCTAAGCCCAGGAGTTGGAGGTTGCTGTGAGCTGTGATGCCACAGCACGCTACTGAGGGCAATAAAGTGAAACTCTGTCTCAAAAAAAAAAAAAAGTACAATTTGTATGCAAATTGTTGGTGTGCTCTAGAATGATTAGGTGAATGCCTTTTTTTACCGGACATTAAAAGAGGGTACTCAGGCCGGCAGTCTGAGACCAGCCTAGACAACACAGTGACCTGTCTCTACCGAAATATATATATATGTGTATGTGTGTGTATGTATATATATAATATATATGTATGTGGATGTATATATGGAATGGACATGTATACACACACACACACACACACATACGCATTAAAAAGTAGCCAAGAGCATGGTGGCACATGCCTATCATCCCAGCTACTAAGGAGACTGAAGTAGGATGATTGCTTGAGCCCAGGAGTTTGAGGTTACAGTGAGCTATGATTGGACCACTGCACCAGAGGCTGGGTGACAGAACAAGACCTTAACTCTAAAGCAAAGAAATAAACAAATCACAAACCCCAGAAAGGCTGGATCTGTCCTTGGGTACTCTTTTACCAGATCCCTCAGCAAACAGGGTCTCCCAAAAGCTTGGTTCCCAGCAGGGGGTGGAGGGGGTTTCTGGACTGGGCTTAAAGCAACAACAGGTGACCTGAGCTGGGCAGGGATTAAATAAACAATTCAGTGGGCTGAGACAAACCTTAGTATCTCAGGAGCTCACAAAAATGAACTATAGCTATGGCTGCCAGGAAAGGCAGCAGTGGCTGGGAAGGGGTCCTTGAGCAGCCCAGGGGGCCTCAGAAGCAAGGCTGTCTGTCCTACCCCCATTCTACCTTCACTTTCATGTGTATATGCATCTGTTTAAAGCTGGGCTCAGCAGTTGGACAAACCTGGCCCCAGTCTAGCTGGTAGCAGAGGGGCCCACAGAACTAGTCTTCCGAGAACCAGCCCAGGTCAGCTGAGGTCCAGGGACACAGCATCCAGAGTTAGCATAGGCTGACATGCAGCTAGGCCCAAGGTGCTTGGCCAGGAGGAGCTGGGAATAAGAGGAAAACAGGCCTGACAGTGCAGCCCACACCCCCTGCCTGGCGCAATGTCACCTTTTACTACCAGCTGCCATCTGTGCAACAGGGAAATTCAGTCACAGTTGCCATAGAGAACCCATGTGAGCAAAGTGTGGGTAGGACAGCCCAGCCACAACTGGTCCATTTTGGTCCTGGAGCTTTGGGGGGCACTAGTCAGAACAGAATTTTCACAAGCTGAATGCTAGGGGCTCACTGGTTTAAGCCCCTGGATAGTGGACCCAAGATTGCCAGGAGAGGAGCAGCCTCCTTAGAGATATAGGAAGGTTGGGATGGGCAGCCTCCTCCAGGTAGGGACGGAGGGAGAGGCACATACGCTTTACCCCAACTGCAATGGAGGGAGTCAGTATTTTGTCTGAGGCAGATGAGGTGGGAGGAGCAGAGAGGCATCTCCAGGCATCATCTACCCCTCTCTTTCCCACTTCTCTGACTGGCTATGTCCCCCCAGGGACTTGTGCTGGCTGCCTCCACTTAGAATGAGCATTTCTATGGTAACTAGGGTACATTTTCTCTCAGGCAGCACTGGTGATACTAGCTGTTTACTTTCAGCTTTGAGGGGCATTCAGCCCTGCTCAACCTCCCAAAACAAGAAAGGAACACTCTAATCTAGACTCTGAA